AAAACATGCCTGGCCACGGCGGGATTCGAACCTACGACCTTTGGAATACTAGCCGAATGCTAGGTATTCCAAAGGTCGGCTAGTATTCCAAAGGTCGTAGGTTCGAATCCCGCCGTGGCCAGGCATGTTTTTCAAGCCTGCCCGGTGTGGATATGCACTCAGAGTAACATCACACAAACATCTTATTCACCTGAGTACATTACACCAACACAGCAGATTTCATAAATATTAGATTACACTGATATCGAAGGAACTAGGCTCAGTTCCGAAATATCGCTTACTCGAACCGTCCTGACCGCGTAGCTCAGTTGGAAGAGCATTCGGCTAGTATTCCAAAGGTCGTAGGTTCGAATCCCGCCGTGGCCAGGCATGTTTTTCAAGCCTGCCCGGTGTGGATATGCACTCAGAGTAACATCACACAAACATCTTATTCACCTGAGTACATTACACCAACACAGCAGATAACTAAATTGTTTGATGTTGAATAATGTTTGTTACACATCTAAGCAAGCCTCTTATACAGAATGTGCTTGTCTGTATCATTTGTTGCAGTGTATGTTGTTTAAACAAATTTGCCCATGTTAATTGGTATGTTTGCCAGAGTCATAATATTTTTTCACAATGTGAACATGGCATTCTCACATTCATAAGGTAATTGTGAGTGTGGTGGTCAAAATGGAAGCAATATTGTTCCACCATTCAGTTATAGCACTTTACTTTTTATAATTTATATCAATTATATGATAAAATATCGTACGTCTGGCAGTTTAACTTTTTAAAACTGCTAATAATCAACCTATTAGAATGCTGTCAATGCACTGTGACTACATTGGCATGTATTATCCTGATTAAATAATATCATCTTCATCAAGCCAAGTAATTATTTAATCGTAGCTTGCCAACTTGAGTAAAATAGTCTAAATTGATTTAATTGTTAAATGAACAACTCAGTAGATAAGACTTACATTAACTGTAACTATGTTTGAGAAAAATTCTGTCATAAAATCTTTTTTCAGATAAAGAGTAAGATACCTGGCATTTCAGAATATAAGTTCTACCAACCAAAAAGAATAAAAAGATCCAAAAACAACAATAGAAATTATAGAATATAAACTCCATTTAAACTCCACTCCTTAGCTTGGCGCCATATTGAATTTCGCGGTCGCGCTGGTAAAGGCCTGGGGACTAGGTGCTCTACCGTATCTGAAATAGCCTTCACCCACTATCACAAATCTCAATTCTCAAATTTCAAGAGTCAACTCATGCCTCATGGGAAACATTCCATGTAGAAATTACTTATATGTTTTCTTTTCTTCACGACCAAGGTGTACATTGAAACTGTTCTGCATTCTGCAATAAAACAAAGGTATTTTCATTTATTAATTTATCTTTACCTATTTCTCGAAACTGTATGTGTATATAAAGTAGATTGTATAATTTTCAATTATATTTCCGCATGATTGCATCATATTTGTATTGTGTATAAACAATATTTATAAAATGGTAATATTTTAGTGTCTATTTTGTAATTTTGTACCAGTTAACGACACGCAGTCGGCAGTAATATAGCATATTTTCCATGAAAAATTATCAGTCAGTACAACCAACAGACTGAACTACAGTGTACATTGTGTATGTCAATATCTGTCATGGCATGTAATTCTGAATAATCTTATGAAATATCATGAGTAATCACCACATTTCATTCATGATTCAATTGTTGAAGCATTTGAGATAAGATGTCTATATATGCAAAGTCGTTAAACAAATTTCTAGGCTGCTAAGTGCCTTGCTGGGTTGGGTATAATCCAAGGGATTGGACCTGTGGCCCTGAGATTCCAGTGCAGGCCAGAGCAGATCCCTGCCAGAGAATAGTGTTGCAACCTTCCTGGTTAGGTCTTAAGTTGTGTAGATACAGCTATTTCAATCAAGGTTGTCCCCCGAGCAAAGTGGGAAAGTCGAATACGAGCGCAAAAGGCTGCTGAGAATTGCTAATAAATTCATTCATTTATTGGCGAATCCCAGCAGCTTTTTGCGTTCGTATTCGACTTAATTGAAATAGCTGTATATTGTTTGTGCTCACTTGGATTATCTACCCAACCCAGCATTCTAGTTGAACCAGTAAAGTACAAAACACATCTGCTATAAACTGCCTAATTGCAAATAGTTTTGTCTAACACAATTAATATAATGCATGTGAAAATGAAACATATTCATGGTTTTCAAAATTGAAAATTGATCTGAACATTGCCCACAACTCTCATCTTAACCTCAAATCAGGCTGCCTGAGTTGGATCCAAAACATGTGAGAGAAATTACAATGTGGGGTGTGAAAAATATAATTGTGAATACCGGTACAAGTCAAACAACTGAATGCAAATAATTTGTAAATGTCACATGGTCTGATAGAATTATTTTCTTTGCTGTTAAAACATGCTAAAATGATACTAAGTAAATTTCATTTGATTTCAATCCAGAGGTGGAAAATGTTTTTTTGTTCTGAAAACCTGGCCTGGGTTTATGGGTTCCCAGGTTCTGATATTTTTCCACAGCTGTTTCAATCAAATCCTCTAATCAGGACTATAGTCAAGTGGTTAGACATTCACCTTTTAATTGCCCATGCACATTGTTTTGGATCTGTTAGGTTCATGGTTACTGTAGATGTGGGCAAGGTTCAAGAAAATTTTTTTCTTCCAAAACTGTGAATGTTGTGCATACACAATACAGAATATTTTGTTACCCTAATGTTTGTAACAAATTGGCAACCAGTGTCAGTATATGCATTCATACTATGTTGGTTTGTTGACTATCCCACTAAGCAGCTAGTACAATTAACCTGGCTTTTAGCTGGAGGCTGTGACATTTACCTATCTATAAAACACAGATTGTGTGCACTGTTACTGTAGTACAACATTTCCAGACTGTTAGCAGAGTCTGAAATTTGCAGTAGTTAACCGATATCCACAAGATGATACTGGTTTGGTTTTAGATACCAAAGTGTGAATAACTTGTACCGCAACTGGATGTTATATACATTTCAAACATTACAATAGTTCTATACAGTCTGCCAATACTTGTATATACAGTACAATGAGTGTGCCTTCAGACTTTGATTCCCAACTGGGTAGTCTAGTTGTTGTTCTGTTGAGTCTCCTGTTGCTGTGTTGTAATTTCTAACAATGAGCTGCCTCGTACCCAGTCGTCTCTTTGTAAAAAAACACAGCGATGCGCATATGGTGAGTTTACATGAAGTATTGCTTTAAAGCTCCTGGGTACGAGGCAGAACAATGAGAGACGGATAATACATGTATAGGCTTCCTTTGATGGCTCAGGGATGCCAAAGATGGTATTAACCAGTATCCAGAAGTGGGATACTGGATTGTCACATGCGCGGCACTAGAACTTTGAATCCTGGTATCCCAGTGGTGTACTGGAAACAATTTGAAATGTCAGAGGCCTTGGTTTATCATGCACAATAGTTGTGGCAATTAGTGACCTGCATGAGCTTGATTAGCAAGTGTGTTTATATGCAAGTTGGCAACTAAGCCAACATGGCTGTCCATATTTGTAAATTAATGCATATTTCTGTCTGTATTCTGTTGCAATTAAGATCTTGCTTTGCGAGTTTTCACACTGCCTAACCAGGTTAGACCAGCTTGCATGTAAATTCAACACTAAAATTTAATATTGATTAAGAAAATCTGTAGGAAAACAAGTAAGTCAAGTACTTGGGAGTAAACATTATGGTGTCAATCCTGGGGGAGGGGGTAATAACTGATATATCCCTCACTTTCGGCATGTGGACATGGGGGGGGGGTAAAAAAAATTTCAGGTTGCAGTACTGTCTATCCCCCACTTCTGTAAAGCCTTGAGTGGATTATGGCTCTTTCTAAAGTGCGCAATGGAGTTTAGGCCTAAACAGTGATATTTGATAATTGAAGGAAGCATTGATAATTGAAGGATTTAGCATTAATGAGACTGAAGGCTGATGATCAGCCCCGCAGTACTTGCAGGCATATCTTATTAAAAAGGCTGACACATCCCTCTTTAACTCATTGAGCGCCAGCACTCTCCCATTGACAAGTAAAGTTGTCTCGTGTTGGACACAGTAAAATAATAAAGGTAGCTAGGGCACATTAGGGTGCAATGCCAATAAAATGGGTTAAGTGTGATGAATCTTGATTCTTGAGTATTATCTTGAGGACATCTGAGTCAGGCTCATTCCTGTACGTATCTTTGATCGGAAAACAAGACTTAGTTAACTCAGATTAGTACTGTCAGTAATACTGTAGCTGATATATTTCTTGGCGTCAATGATGACCCACAGTGTGTAGTGGTTAAAAAGTGTATAGTGCCACCAAGTTGTAGTCTTACATACTATTGTGAACTGTACTTTTTTAAGCTTACGTGTGTAGGCTCTTCACATAGCAATAAGCAGTTGAGTGGATATCTGTCTAAAGTCTACGGAAGTCACTTGAGGTAACATGAGTGTTCGAACTTCGCCTTTGACGCAAACGAGACGCGTAAGATTGATGGATTTCTGTATTCGATATAAATGTTTAATATGCGTGTTTTAACTCTTTCTCAGCTGGGTCCATTACGCGTAGAACGTGCACGTTCTACGGATGTAATTCGTTCATATCTTTGGTTCAGTGCACGCTATGTAGATGAAAATACCACCATTCGATTCAGTATAAAAATATACACTAATTTATAACGATAGTTTTAGTCAGTGGCTAAATTGTAGCGATTTATGAGCTTTGAAAGTCAAGCGAGCTTGGTATTTGATCAAATTACACAATATTACTAACAAATTATAAACATAGACATACCTTTCGCCGAACATAACTTCGGCCCCTTGAGACGTATGCTCATTCTGGTAGTCTTGATGAATGAAGCAGTTAAAAATAACATGTATACTGTTATTTTCAATTTTGCATTTCTGCCCCGAATTTGCGTTAATCCCAACCGGAAATACGACGAAAAACCGTCAAAACAATGCGAAGTTTGTATCGCGTGACTCTGGAAATGCCAGAAATGGATTCTACAGGTCAAAGTGCACCTATATGCGTGAATTTGACGTCATCCCGGCTAAAGGGAGCTCCTTATTGGCCAAGTATTACGTAATACAAGCGTGTGCGAGTAAAATCCGATACCTTGAAAAATTCAAAATAAATATTTCTACTCGCCGTATTCATACGAAACTTTCTACACGAAAGCGCTTGAATACAAAGAGTATTTTACACATATATCTTTTCAGAAAATGACGCCAAAGTTTAGAATCTATTCAACTTTTTCTCGTTTGAATGTTTGGCGAAGCGGTGAGTATAAATATATGATTGTTTCGGTTTGTGTAATGTTTTGACGGAACTTGACCCCCCGTTCAAAAGGTTATATTGTGAGGATTTCAATGGTGGCATTTATTTAGAAGGGGGGTAAATACTCGCCGAGATATTTATATTAGAAA